TATATATATATATGTGTATATATATATATATATATATATATATAGATATATATATATATATATATATATATATATATATATATATATATATATATATATATATATATATATATATATATATATATATATGTATATATATATATATATATATATATATATATATATATATATATATATATATATATATATATATATATATATATATATATATATATATATATATATATATATATATATATATATATATATATATATATATATATATATATATATATATATATATATATATATATATATATATATATATATATATATATATATATATATATATATATATATATATATATATATATATATATATATATATATATATATATATATATAGATATATTGTGTGGCTAAATATTGCCTAAATTGATTTATAAACCGCTTATTTTATATACAGCAAAGTTAATTTACATTGCTGTTTTTACTGTTTGTAGGCTTTCAGACTGCAGTATCAGTGAAGAAGGTTATAAAGCTCTGGCTTCAGCTCTGAGATCAAACCCTTCACACCTGATAGAGCTGGATCTCAGAGGAAATGATCCTGGACAATCAGGAGTGAAGGAGCTCACTGATTTACAGCAGGATCCACACTGTACACTGAAGATACTGAGGTGAGACAAGGAATCATTTCATAAATAAATTATGCATATGAATTAGTAAGAAAAATACTGCTAATGAATTATTCTGTGCGATTTGTTCTTGCATCTTGAGTTTCAAGAATTAAAATAAATTCTATTTCATGTCTGAAGGTTTTTGAGTCCTGCTGCTGATGAAGCCTGTCAGTTTTTGACTGGAGTTGTGGGTAAAAACCTGTTACTCTTGAAAGAGCTGAATCTGAGTGGACATGAACTAGGACTCTCAGACAGCTTTCAAATGCTTGTTCTTTTACTGCATGATAAACACTGTACGCTCAACACACTGATGTGAGTATTTAACTTGTATTGACACCAATATTATTGTGTGAATCACGAATAGCAAATATTTTCTGTCCACACAGAATGAACAACTCAAATGTGTATTTTTCAGTTATACACATTTCTACATGTTAATATGTCCATTTTAAGTCATGACAAAATAAAAATATATTTTATTATTACTTTAATTATAAATCTAACATCAAGACAAATCTGTTCATTATGTCTGTGTCAGCAAGTATGTCACATCTTACAGGGATAGGTACCTGCCTAAAAAATACCTCATTATTTACTTTCTATCATGTGGGCGAGTAAATGAGTTTACTTTTTTTTTTTTTTCTTTGGAACACATTATGAAAGACATATTTAAAAATGCTTGTTGCTGTCGACTTCCATTGTAGAGATAACAATTACCATGGGAGTCAGTGGGTGCCAACTACTAGCATTTTTCAAAATGTATTTTGTGTTCAACAGAAGAACAAAACTTTCATAGGTTATGAATACAGAAAGGAATAATAAAAGATGGCAGCATTTTCATTTTTAGATAAACAATCTCTTTAAGTCTCCGCTTCCTCCAGCCATCTCTACAGTTCATTGATTGTTATGTAATTTTTCAATAAGGTTCAGATCAGGACTCTTTGCTGGTCCTTTCATTATTTTGAAATGTTTACCAGTTTTCAGGTTTAAGAATCTGCTTCAGCCAAAATATGAATATAAACTGCAGTTTTATTCCTGATAACTTCAAATAGGACTAAGTAATCTTTTTAGAAGTTTATAATTTGTTGTCTGTTTCTGATTTCCACCAATTCTTCTCATCAATATAAATTAAAGAAATTAATATTTTTTCTTTAGTCTTTCAGATTGCAGTATCACAGAAGAAGGTTATAAAGCTCTGGCTTCAGCTCTGACATCAAACCCATCATACCTGATAGAGCTGGATCTCAGAGGAAATGATCCTGGACAATCAGGAGTGAAGGAACTCACTGATTTACTACTGGATGAACGCTGTAGCTTAAAAATCATCAGGTGATAAAATTGCAACTTATGTAAAATAAACAGTTTGAATGTAGATGTGAGGTTCAAATTGTTTAGTTTAGATTAGGAAATTAAGAAAACACACCTATTAAATTGTGAGAAATATATTTAAAAAAAAACTACTTCATGCAGGTTTCTGAAAAGTCCTGCTGCACAAGAGTCATGTGATTTTCTCACTGAAGTTCTGGATGTAAATCCATTATTACTGACAGAACTGGATCTGAGTGAAGATAAATTAGGAGATCTGGATGGAGAGAAAATCTCTGCTTTTTTGATGGACCCTCATAGCAAAGTGGAGAAAATCAAGTGAGTCAACATGATTTATCCATTAAAACTTCTAGTGTGTGAGTAGATATGCAGAGCTGTTGATCTTTTGTGGGTTAAATGTGTGCTGTATATTAAATAGTGCCGTTATTGTGTTTAGGCTGAATAATTGTAAGCTGCTTGAGAAAAGCTCATCAGTTTTAGCAACAGTTCTGTCTTCCAAAACCATCCTGAAAGAGCTGAACCTGAACAACAGTCGTCTGCTGGACTCAGGAGTCAGAGAGATCTGTGAGGGACTGAAGAATCCTGTGTGTGAGCTGAAGATACTCAAGTGAGTACATTTGATTATAAAACAAACTGAAATGAGTATTGTGCATTGGCTCATGATGGGAGTCTTTACGTTTTTGAACCTAGTTCCTTTCAGAAATAGAGTATATGTAGGCTAGATCATTGTTTTTCCGTTAAGGAATGCAGGAGCCTTGTCCTATCTTGATGATCTGGTCATTTGCACACCTTCTCAGTGCCAGACAGAGATTGATATGAACATGCTGGTGTCTCATTTGGAGAGATTAGTGTCTAAAATGAACCAGACTAAGAGCTTTCTGACTCCCTCACAGTAGATCATTTACTTGCATCTTGTGATGCCCAAACACTATCAATAATTTCTTTAATGCAACTGCAGAAACACAGATGATTCAGGCCCCGTTTACACTAAAGTGTTTTAGTTTTAAAACTCAAAAGTTTTGCTACGGTTATGCCTTCCATTCACATTACCCCAGTTTTCGAGCCCCAAAAATGGAGCGTTTTGAAAACACTAAAGAGGCCATTTTGGTTTTAAAACGCTGCTGCTCTGTGTTTGTGTAAATGGGAAAACAGAGACATCTAAAAATAGAGGAATCTGCAGACATTCACCGATTGGAAGTTTTCCCTCAATATTAAGCATACAAAGTTTACACCGTTTAAAAACTAAAACGTGTTAGTGTAAATGAGGCCTCAGTGTTTTGGCTTTCACCATTGATGTTTGCATTACACTGGATTTGAGGTTTAATTTACTAGAACTTAAAAGCTTTGACACAATCTAAATGGAGAAAAAAGCACTATAGAAATAAAAATGAATTGAATAAGGGGATTTCAAAAGTGGACACTTTCAATCACCGCAGAGCCTCATCTTTCTGCTTCCCTGAGCTGTGATGTAGTTTCATGGTTTGTTGTTGTGCACTAATGAATGAAATTGAATTGCAAAGTTAATTTACATTGCTGTTTTTACTGTTTGTAGGCTTTCAGACTGCAGTATCAGTGAAGAAGGTTATAAAGCTCTGGCTTCAGCTCTGAGATCAAACCCTTCACACCTGATAGAGCTGGATCTCAGAGGAAATGATCCTGGACAATCAGGAGTGAAGGAGCTCACTGAGTTACTGCAGGATCCACACTGTACACTGAAGACACTGAGGTGAGACAAGGAATCATTTCATAAATAAATTATGCATATGAATTAGTAAGAAAAATACTGCTAATGAATTATTCTGTGCGATTTGTTCTTGCATCTTGAGTTTCAAGAATTAAAATAAATTCTATTTCATGTCTGAAGGTTTTTGAGTCCTGCTGCTGATGAAGGCTGTCAGTTTGTGACTGGAATTGTGGGTAAAAACCCATTACTTCTGAAAGAGCTAAATCTGAGTGATCGTGAACTAGGAGACACACGAGTGAATCAACTCTCTGCTCTACTGCAGGATAAACACTGTAAACTCAACACACTCATGTGAGTGTTCATTCTCAATAATCACTGTTTGAATTGTTGGCATCACTGTTTGTAAATTCTTCCTCTCCTGTTCATTATTTTAGTCTTAGTAAATGTGGTGTAACAGTGGAAAGCTGTTCAGCTCTGGCTACAGTCCTGAGATCAGAGACCAGTCTAAAAGAGCTTGACATGAGCAACAATAATCTGCAGGAATCAGGAGTGAAGAAACTCCAGAGCGGATTAAAAAACACAAACTGCACACTGGAAAAACTCAGGTGAGTTTATTGAAGATTAAAAAAAGAATAATGATAAAAAATTTTGTAACACGATTTTGCTTAACTGATTATAATGAAGACACACGTGCACACACACATACACACGCACACGCACGTACACACACACGACTTAGACTTGTAGTCTTAGTAACTTAAATTTATCATACCAATAATATACTGCTACTCTCAGATGACTTGAATCCATTCTATTATCTTCACGTGTAAGTCACTTGTATATATATATTTCTCAATTTTCTCTATCTAGTCTTTTAGACTGCAGTATCAGTGAAGAAGGTTATAAAGCTCTGGCTTCAGCTCTGAGATCAAACCCTTCACACCTGATAGAGCTGGATCTCAGAGGAAATGATCCTGGACAATCAGGAGTGAAGAAGCTCACTGAGTTACTGAAACCAGACTATACACTGAAGACACTGAGGTGAGACTGAATGAATTAATACAAAATAAATGATGTGCAGGCAATTTATTGATTATTATATTGTTTCACTAATGTAGTCTGCTGCACACATAAAGCATTTCACACATGTACTGTATCCATTAGACTTTGCTTTTTATCATTATTCTCTTAGTACTTAAGACTTTGATGAATCCTGCTTCATCTTCTCTCCTGCAGGTTTTTGAGTGATGATGCAGATGAAGCCTGTACACATCTGAATAAAGTTCTGGGTGGAAACCTGTTACTCTTGAGAGAGCTGAATCTGAGTAAACTTGATCTTGGACCATCAGGATTGGAGAAACTTGCTGCTGTACTGAAAGATAAACACTGTAAACTCAACACACTGATGTAAGTTCTAATAACGCTTTCAGTGAATTTGCTGCTGGTGTGTGTGATGCTGAGTAACATCTGACTTTAACTGTAAATGTGTTTCTTTCAACACAGTCTGAATAACAGCAGTATGTCAGAAGAAGATTGTCGTGTTTTGGCTGAAGCTTTTAATTCAAACCCATCAAATCTGACAGAGCTGAATTTGAGTGGGACTAAACTCACAAACTCAGGAATGAAGAGCTTCACCACTCTGTTTCAAAACCAACAGTGTAGACTGGAAAAGCTGAAGTAAGTGTTTATTCAGCCAGTGTGTAAAACAAAGGCAAACTACTTACTGTAGTAAATAAAATATATATTATGTAATTTTCATATTGGATGTTTAAAAATTGACAAAATTGTTTACAGCTATGTTTTATAGCTTATGTCTCTCTTCTACAGGTTCAGCAGCATGTGTATTACAGCAGAAGGTTGTGCTGCTTTGGCTTCAGCATTTAACTCAAATCCTTCACACCTGATAGAGCTCAATCTGAGTGAGAATAAACTAGGAGACTCAGGAGTAACAGAAATCTCCAGTCTACTGGCAAACTCGCAGTGCATGCTGAAGATACTCGGGTAAGGTTTCTTAATTTAAATATGAAAATGCATTATTTATTATTATTATTATTGTTTTTTTTATCAGTATTAAATGTGATGCTATCCTTTTTTGGAAAATGAAAAAGATTTTTTATGGAATATGTTTGTTTTTCATAATTGCTTTATTATTGTTTTTTTTTTTTACATTTGGATCTTGTTCATTCTGAATAATTATTTAATAAAGAATAATTATTTTTAAGGTGACCATACTGTCATACAGAGTCCAATTATTATACAAAGACATTCAGAAACTCCTATTCTAGTTAAAATGTAAAGAAGAAATAGGGAAAAATATAAGCTAAGAATCAGAATCAAATGAAAAAGTCCCTAAAGATTGTCACCCTTAGTGAGCAGTGTTTATTATTAATATGTGGAAGTGTACCATATAGAACAACATCAGTGTAAAAAACACAATCAGAGTCTAAATGTGTGCAAAGCGTGATGGGATGTTTAGTCCGGGTGAATGGCTGGAAAGGTACAGAGTGCCCTCTAGTGTGTCTGGTGGGCAACATAGCTGGTGACCATGACAGTAGAGTATTCTTTGTTTCTTTATTTGTTTCATTTTGTATTCTAGTCTTTCAGACTGCAGTATCAGTGAAGAAGGTTATAAAGCTCTGGCTTCAGCTCTGAGATCAAACCCTTCACACCTGATAGAGCTGGATCTCAGAGGAAATGATCCTGGACAATCAGGAGTGAAGGAGCTCACTGATTTACTGCAGGATCCACACTGTACACTGAAGACACTGAGGTGAGACAAGAGAAAATATTTCATAAGTAAATGATGCATATTGATTATTAAGAGAAATACTGTTAATAAGCAATACACAATTATAGGCTGGTAAATTATAAATTTTTATTTTGCTATTAAAAAATATATTATTTTACATAACTCAAATGATATCTTCTGTTACATGAACTTTAAAGAAATTAACTAACTCTTGAATCGTTTTCTGCTCTTCAGGTTTTTGAGTCCTGCTGCTGATGACGCCTGTCGGTTTGTGACTAAAATTGTGGGTAAAAACCCATTACTCCTGACAGAACTGAATCTGAGTGATCGTAAACTAGGAGACACACGAGTGAATCAACTCTCTGCTCTACTGCAGGATAAACACTGTAGAGTCAACACAATAATGTGAGTATTGCACATTGTTTTCAAAAGTATAAAAATTATGTATATTATTGTAATAAAACATTTTTTTAATAAAATCACTAAATTGGTGCCATCTTTTGTCTGAATATTGTATGCTGCAATTGTTTACATTTTTCATCCTTCAAGCTTTGTCTATTTAAGAGTTGATCAATTATTACAGCACATATTATTGTTTTATGTTCAATCTATTTTATTTATTTTTCGCTTGTAGAATAAAGCACTTAAGTCTTATTTAAAAGCTGCTGAACAGCCCACCTGGCTTTATTCTCAGATAACATCTACCTGGATGAACATTATTACCCTTTGTCTAATGAAACACTATTATAAAGGTGCAACTATAATTCATTTTGTATACTTGTGTGTTATATCTGAAAATGTTTCCTCTCTTTGTTTTCTTTCTCTTCAGGCTGAATAATAACAGGATTACAGCAGAAGGTTGTGCTGCTTTAACTTCAGCATTTATTTTAAACCCATCACACCTGATAGAGCTCAATCTGAGTGGGAATAAACTAGGAGACTCAGGAGTAGAGAAGATCTGTCCTCTGCTGGAAAATACACAATGCCGATTAGAGAAACTGAGGTATGTATTTTTATTTTTGTACATTTTCACATTAGTATAGTGAACAAAATTGTTAAAATGACTCTTTAATTATGTTGGCTGAAAATAAATATACATTTTTAAATAATATGATGGTTAATAAATAATGTTGGCATTTACGTTTTGAATGTACTGATCATTAAACATGTTAGGTTAATAATGTATTTTTCCTAAATATGGCATTGTTTTCATGCATATATATTGTGTGGCTAAATATTGCCTAAACTGATTTATAAAAAGCATATTGACCTTTATTTTTGCAAAGCTTTATTTGTGTGGTTATTTTGTTTATTTAATATGCAACATGCAGAACTAAACCCCTTATTTCATATACAGTCTTTCAGACTGCAGTATCAGTGAAGAAGGTTATAAAGCTCTGGCTTCAGCTCTGAGATCAAACCCTTCACACCTGATAGAGCTGGATCTCAGAGGAAATGATCCTGGACAATCAGGAGTGAAGAAGCTCACTGATTTACTGCACAGTAGAAGCTGTAAATTCAGGTAATTTACAAACTTAAAAAAGCACTTGGAACAAAATGTTTGATGCTCTTCAATGTAACCTCAGTATCAATCAACCTTTACTTTTTCAATTCTCTTTAAATGAAACATAACATACAATAAGCATGATCAGAATCGAAAAACTGTACTGTAAGCTAAAAACATTGTATTCCAGATCTGTTTACTATTAAACACAATTGTTATACAGTAATTAAATCCATAAGCAATATGTTCCATAAAGCTGGTTTGTACAGATCAAAAGTATGTGTGTGTGCGCGTGTGTGCAAGTGTGCGTGCGTAAATGTGCGTGCGTGCGTGCGTGCGTGCGTG